TCAAGTTTAAGGAAGATGAACTAAAATAAGTTTCGATACAAATTGATACCAACGTATTGTAATAAAGCTTAAAACCATACGCCTCCCTCCAACATAAGACCCCAAGTGAAAGGAAAGAAAATAATGTTTTACAAAAAAATTTTCGTACTTATTGATTTCCTTAAAGAAAATGAATAAAGGAGTTTATTGACATGCAATCAATATACCCCACTACACACACAATGGTGATGGTGTTGAACACACACACACACACGATACACTGAATATAACTAATTACCAAAAATAAAAAATGAGATTGCAGCTAAAATTCCCCTCATCAGCAAATACAGCCAATTAAAAGTAGAAAGGAAATTAATTCAACTAATAGGAGAAGAAAATAAAAAAATTCTAATAGAAAATGTTAAATAAACTTGTGTTCAAAAACCAGATTTCGTATCAAAGAGAGCATCGACAACCCGTTGTAAAGTAAATTCGATCTACAGCCGAGACTCAATATGTTTGACCAGCTGCGTGAACTGCAACGAATTTGCCAAACATAAACAACCCCTATTCCCCACAACCCAAAACTCCCCCGTTAGGTATGAAGTGTTGAAGAGTGTAAACAATCAAAGAAGAAATAAATTTTTTCAACATTTGCAAATATCAGCACAGCACATCATTTCTTAGCTTGGTAATAATTAGTACGGCAAAATAAAAAATATCAAAAACAAAAAAAAAAATATGAATAAATAAATCCAAAGTTAAATCCAATAAGCCAGCGATATACAAAACTATTGTAAACAATATTCACTTTTAAACCAAAAACAAAATTAATTTAAAGAATTAACGATTATCTTCCATCGAAATTCAAATTCATTTCCCTCCCACCCAAAAAAAAAATGTTAAAGATTGTTCGTAGTTACCGTTACTATTAATGTTGCAATTACTTTATGCTGCCACTCGTTAATACCTAGTAGTAACTAGTAACTACTCGCTGAACTTCTGACTTTTTGTCTCTGTTTGGGCTAATCCAACGTTTTATGCCTTTCTTCCACATTGTCGTCAGGTCAACTGACGGCAAATTCCGCTACTACTACAACAACAATTACAACAAATCAATGCCACAAAACTAATTACTACAACAACAACATGTTCACCTGTAAAATCAACAACAATCGCAACGCCGAATGCCATTTAAACGCCCAATTTCCCAACTGCAACGATTACCTCCCCTCAGCTTCGAGCATTTGCGGCCTCAATCTTACCACATTCACAGCCAACTGCAACGCCTCGAATAATGGCAGCGGCAGCAACAATAACTGCAGCAACAGCAGCATCGGCGGCAACAACTCGAGCAACAGCACGTCCAATCTCTTGCCCGCCGCGCTCATGCAGGCCAACTCACAACACCAACAACCACAACATCAGCATCATCATCATAGCCAACACCACCACCATCAGCAACAACAACAGCAGCAACAGCAACATAGCCAAACTGTCGGCAATAGTGCTGGCAATGGCTGCAGCAACAACAACGGAGGTCTCAACAGCGCCAGCAGTGCCGTCCAGCAATCACAAATGTTTGTCGCCGCTGCAGCCGCAGCCGCCATGGCCAACATGGCGGCGGCGTCAAGTAGCGCCGCTGGCAACACGTCGGGCGGCCAACTGAACACCTCCGGCGGCGTCAGCGGCGTCGGCGGCGTAGGCGTCGGTGGCAATGGTGGTGCCGATGATTTTCGCTGCGATCCATGCAACAAAAATCTTTCATCGCTGACTCGCCTCAAACGCCATATACAGAACGTGCACATGCGTCCGACCAAAGAGCCCGTGTGCAATATTTGCAAACGCGTGTACAGCTCGTTGAACAGTCTGCGCAACCACAAGAGTATCTACCATCGTAACCTGAAGCAGCCGAAGCAAGAGGCCGTCAATGCCGGCGATGTAAACCAATCGCCGGGCTTGGCCATGCATAACCCTTACTATTCGCCGGTAAACCATCGCTCGTCCCTCTAGGGTTTCATGTACTTTGACTACCTGACCAATATAAATTTTTAAGAAACGCAAGCCGGGTGACGCGGCCCACCAGCTATAAGAGGAAGCATAGACGTTAGGAGGAGCTATAGTGGAATTGTTATATGTTTTCGACTGCTCGTTAACAATTAGCTATTGTTAAATAATTAAATAAAATTTATGCAGTTCAGGCATTTTGTAAATATAAAAGTATAAGACAGATTAGAAGGCAAAGTAGCGACGGTTAAAAAAAGGAAATAGGCAGAGGAAGGTAAAAATAATGAGTAAAAGAATGGGTTACGAATCAAGAAAGAAAAAGAAATATAGAAACAGAGTGGGTAATAGAATTAAGGAGTTAAGATTACTGTATAGGAGGAAACAACACAAGCCAGAGTTGTGACATCGCCCCATTGTGGCCTGCTCAGCCGCTCGCCTAATCACAAGCGCACTTCCTTTTTAATTACTGTAAACGAAGGTGCGATCCCAATACAAAAATGGCTTTAATGTTCTCAAACTTACGACAGAAATAACGCCTTAGATATTTTTAATCCGCCTATTTGATATGAATTTTGTACATTGAAAAATAAGATCTAAAAAAAAAACAAAAAAAAATAGTAATAATTATAGGAGTGATTACAAAAAAAAACTTTCATAAAGTGCTCGTCCATACAATCACAGCCGAAGGCCGTACGACCGACTGATCGACCAACCGACCGACCGATCGATCACCCACAGTAGTGTACGAAATGCAGAGATTTGTTATCGGTATAATCATAGCATGTAAATATTTTATATTAAATATAGTTTATTATCGCATTTTTTATACATATTTGACTAAGCTTAGGCACGTTATGAGCATTCGAGATACTTTTTACTTCAGTTGTGTTCGTTTTTTAATGAAAATAAGAAAAATTGTTTATTAATAAACTTATTCATATTTTTATCATATATATATATATATATATATATATATATATAAATATAAATATATATATATACTTTAACGTATTGTTAAACTAGTATATAGTTAGTCAATAAAGAGTTTTGTTTAAAATCATACATACGTACATAAATATTATTACATATACATATACATATATTAGTATACATAAAATGTTATGTTTTGCATATTAACAAAAAAATATTATTAAATATTTTGAAAACCAAAACATCTATATCTATGGATATTGAGAAATGTTGCAGGTATGTTGAAAGTAAGCAATTATGTATGTATGGGCGTATTCGTTGGTTCAAAAACGATTACCGACTAACAAGTAATGAGTATGTGTGTTTTCACTATCACCAGCAGCAAAATAAAACGTGTGGTCGTGTTGGAACCAATTGGTATATGAATTCTTTGACAAAAGTCACATAACTGTTTGAAAGTTAAGCTAAAATGTAATTGCAAGAAAATAATAATAAAAAAATATAAAAATACTAGCACTAATGCAATGTAAGCAGCAAAAAAATCATTACACATATATCATTATCATCTCTCTCACACACACATTTAATGAAATTGGATTTGAAAACATCCTTTTTTTATTCACATTAAAGTCTTTCTTTTTTAATTTAAGAATAATTTTTTGTTGTAAGTTTTAAAGTCATAAACCTCAAAATTAATTTAAATTTGTAGTGAAATCCAAAAAGAGATAGCAATATTAACTCACCGATCAATACATCACCCCAACCTTTCTCTAACCAAATCAAGCAAAACCCCACTTCCCTCTCCCCATATGGCTCTACGAAACGGCCTTCTACTGCTGCTACTACTACTGCTACTGCAACAAAAAAATATTATCAAACAAAAATAGCTGCCAGTTAGCCGTTCTGCCACACAGTTATTTAATCCGGCGACCAATAAGATATCGTTAAAAAAATTTGGTCTCACGATTAATGTGTTGGTGGTGAGGCTGCAGGTTGGTGCGTTACCCTGATCCTAAGTAGAGGAGATAAAAGGAATAAAAAATTTCATTATGATTACAAAAAGAGAAGCATTAAAAGAGACACTAGTGACAAACATTTAAAAACGCTAAAATAAAGCAAAAGGTATTACAAAAAAAAATAAATAAAAACTACAAATCAATCAGGCCAAAAATGTTTCAAAATTTTAAAACAAGCAAGTCATTTGAAAATTTCAGATACTTCATTCTGAAAAGTGTTTTCGTTTATTTCAAACGCGTATTAAAAAATAAATTTTAAAATTATTCTTTCAAAATTCGAACACTTGTAAATAAAATTTAATGCTGCAATGCCGATTAAGCCGGAAACGGATCAGCATATTTATAGCAATTGGTTCCAATGGCATAAGGGCTCGGAGTGAAGAATGCCCATTGCCGCTCTCACTCTTACTCGGCGAGTACCGCGGAGTTTTTGTAAATGCATGAATAAGAGATACGAGGAAATCCCCAGAATCCCAGATAACGGTATAACCACAAAAGCTAAATACATATTTATAAACGGAAACCCGCAACTAACGGCTTCACCCATAATTCAATTAGATTAATTTATTCAATATCGAACAAAAAAATCAAGAAAGGAATAGCTTTTTTTTAAGAAACAACAAAAAGCCCTTCAACAATAATTTTCATAACCAAATATTCCATAAAATTTGAACAATACATTTTTGAGCCTGGATTTGTTAGTGTACAAAAACAAATACACAAATTAGTCACAATTTACGCGTCAAAATCACAAAGTTACACAACACGAATATTAATAGGTAGAAAAAAGAAAAAACAATCCACGAAGAAGCATACGACAGACAAAAAACGACAAGACACGACGACACACAAATAACAGACAGACTGACAGAGGAGCAAGCAGACTTTCAAACAAAAGTTCAAGAGCTGCCGACCAAACAAACACACAGAAAATACTAAAAACAAAACAAACAAACAAAAATACAAATGAAAAAAACAAAAAATACAAAAACAAAAACGAAAAATGTTAGAAAAGCAAACAAAGTCACTATTGTCTCTTTTTTTCTTCTCTTCCTATATATCATATAGGTGGAAGCACCAACCTGCTTGGCGGCGTTGTAATACCCGGTGGCAGTCCTAATACCAGTAGTAGTAGCCAAAACCAAAAACTTCAACACGAACTTCACCACCATTCCACCACCACCACTACCAGTACCACCACAGGGACATCAACCTCAATCACCACTCACCCGTACCATCAACACCACCATCATCACCATCAGCATCAGCAACAGCAACATCATCAACACCTTCACCACCATCACCAGCAGCAACATCAGGAGACATCTTCACCGCACCATCAGCAACAACAACAACAATTGCTTTCTCAGCATTTACGCAATGAACGCGATTCGGATCGTTTGAACGCCGATTGCAGTCCACACTCGCCTATCCACCGCCTGCCGAAGCGTCCAGCCAGCGAGCAGCCTCATCACACGCAATCCCACCATTCAACGGCATCTTCGCCGTCAGATGTGATTGCCTCGACACCGCCGCCACTACCACCACCGCAACACATGAAACCACCTTCACCCCACCACACGCACCAACATCCGCACTTCGGCCACCAGCAGTTGCCGCTCTCCATGCTACCGTCACATCATTTACATGCCCACCACGAGCTTAGTGCGTCCTCGCACCACCACCATCATTTGTCACGCACCGGCTCGCCGCTTGATCACCGCCATCTATTACACCACCGACGCTCTTCACTGTCGCCGTCGCCTACCGGTCGAGGCTCTGGTGGCTCCGCAGCAGGCATTCTTGCATCGACGCGCGGTGGCGACATGGTAGGAGGCAGCAGTCGTCTGCTGTTGCCGCTACCCTTGAATGCTTGTCACCGCTGCGACGTTTGCGGCAAATTGCTCAGCACTAAATTGACGCTGAAACGCCACAAGGAACAACAACATTTACAGCCATTAAACAATGCGGTCTGCAATTTGTGCCACAAAGTCTTTCGCACACTCAACAGCCTCAACAACCACAAGAGCATCTATCACCGGCGTCAAAAGAATCATCATTCGTATTTTCATCACGGCGCTGTAGGCGGCGCCGGTGTGAGTAGTCCCAGTAGCCGTTTGCATCAGTCTTTGAGTTCTTTAAGCGCTGCAGCAGTGGCCAACAATAGCGTCGGCGCAGGTGGCAATGGTAATGCCGTAGCAGCAGCTGCTGCTGCCGCCGCTGCAGCAGCCGAGTTATTACTCTCACCGATTGTAGGTGCGGCAGCTGTCGCGGGAGGTGGGGGTGGTGCAGGACCCACGGTCCAACTCTCTCATGGCGGCCAACAACAGTCCTCACCCAATATGGTGAAACCGTGTATGGACTTCTTATAAGATCAACATCACCTGCTGCAGCAGCTCTTTCATGTTGCTCTAAACGCACCACAACCCCCACCACCACCCTCGCTGACGGCCAGTATGAGTCCGTTGTCCGCAATGGCCCAAAGCGGTATGCCGGTTACGTCCATGGTGGACTTGCCGTACGGCCATCAAATTCCGCCTACTGTAGACTTAACTCAAATGGATCATTATGGCGGCGTAGGTGGTGTCGGCAACAACGGCAGTGGCGGTGGCTCGCGTAACGGAGACCATTTTGAACGCATTAATTTGATGGAACACTAAGCAGCACAAGATAGTAAAATATAAATAAAAAAAGCTTAGTGACTAAAACTAAAATGAAAATTAAAAACCCCAGCTGATCGTACTGATCAATTGACCACAGCATAGAAAGGAAAATAATAAAAAATACAAGATTAAGTGACCAAAATATAAAAACAAGGAGCTGAAGCTCCTCTTAAAAAAAAGAGCAAGAAATTTCAACACAAACCGAGAGACCGACCGACCCTCCCACAGTGAAATGAGCTTTTAAAGCAAAAAAAGAAAACTAAGAAATCTCAAATATATTAAAAGAATAAAGGGAAACGTAAAAAACGTATGAGAAACTATGGCAAAAAGCTAAAGAAAATTTAAAAACAAAAAAAAAACTAAATATTGAATTGAAAAACGCAAGAATGCAAAACTGTGATTTTTACATCTCTTTTTTGAGTTTTACGAACAAAATATTATTTTCGATGTGTAACATCACTGACTTTTTTATTATACCGTTAGTGGTAGTGTGAGTTGTGTTTTGTAAAATTTGAGTCTAATCTAAAATTAGAGTTGATTGGTCCGAGAGACTGCCTTTAGTTCTACTGAATGTCTGATATGGGTTTGAAAAACTAAAATTTTATGACATTAAGAGACTCCTAACTTAAAGTTGACACTCAAATATTTTTTTTTTTTTGTGAAATTAAATGGAAGGGTTTTAAGCAAAGATTGAAGACTGTTAGAGAAATTTAGTTATATTTAGTTTTTTCCTTTTTTATTTTAATTTTTTGCCATAATTTTATTTCAAAGAGAAAATATATTAGATTTAAATCAAGGAACTCCATCATCGAGTTTAGCCAACTCTAATTTCTTTAATTTTGTTTAGAAAAAAATACAACAACTAGCAACACATAAAACCTTATGCATACAATACATAATACATATGTATATATAAACACACAAACATTTAAACATAAATACATACATACATAGTTAGATTGATAGTAATGAGAATGTGCAATTTTTATTTGTTGACAATACAAATTTATTTAGTGTTAGTATTTTGTTTTTTCATCGTATAAGCAACGCAAAAAAACAAGAAGAAGAGGAAAAAGAATAAGAAAGTCTAATACAATTGAAAATAATAATAACTACAAGCGCTGAAGGGCCCACCCTAATGTGAAACACACACATACAATGTTGTATAAATAAACATACACAATTAAATTGATTTATTGCCTACTTTCAAACATACAGACATATGTAAATTTGTCACAACAACAACTATTACACGTGCAGTGAAACTTCATGTAAAAAAAATCGTTTTAAACGAAGGGACACACAAACACATTCAAATATATATATATTAAATATGTAAAAATTATTAATACACACATGCATACTTTATATAGCCAATATAATAAAAGTTTAACTATTATTAATAACAATATTACATATATCATACAATGTATGTAGATAATGAAAGGAAAAATTACATATGTACATACATACATACATAGAAAAAGAGTATAAGGTTTTCTAAGTTTTCAACAAAAAAAAATAGACTAAGTGAAAGCCTGAAGGCAAGAAAGTGATAAGGTACAGTTCGTTATCAAACCATATATGCATATTTATTTACACATGTGTACACATATACATACATATGTACATGTATATGGCATATTAGCAACTAGACATTTTTTTTTTTTAGTTTTCTCTGAACTCAATTTCCCCAAAGCAGATGTGTCTGACTATAAATATCATAACGGTTAAAGTTTATTTTCTCTGATTTCAAAGCATCATAAGAAAATGAAATCGTAATCATATTTGATTTAATTATTGATGCATCAAAAATTACAAAATTTCGGTTTTAACTTTGAAAAAATTATATATCCGAGTATATAAATAAATAAATGTGGTTTACGTCAACGGTAGCAAGGACTGATAGATTTTAGGCAAATAATAAATTACAAAAAGAGAAAATTAAAAATGTATTATTTTTTTTGGAATTTTTTCGAAAAATTTTTATGGTATTTACAAGACCGATGGTATTGAACACCAAATTTGTGACTAATAATATTGTGATTCGTGATTAATTGGCACATTAACTGGATGCATGTATGTAAAAAGTGTGTATAACACACAAACACATGCATGTAATAAAAAATCAAAATTTTTCATTATTAGCATATAGAAATTTGAGGAAAATGAATATATTTTCATTTGAAGAAGACTGAAAATTGGCATTCGAAAGAAGTAAAATTTTTTAGGAAGGAAGAAAACCAAAAATTAATTTTGTTTCTAAAAAAAACTTATTTATAACAAATTTCAATATTTTGAAAAAAAAGGGTTTGTTTTTAAAGACTATTACATATAATTTACCATACCTTTAGCATTGAGCCCAATATTTCAAAATTTGCTTTAATTAAACAAACATTGATTTTTTAAGCTTTAATTGAAGAAAAATTAAGAAATTTTATTTTTGGAGGAGAGAGTCTGTTTTATAACTTTTCGATACCAAATTTTTTAAGCAAATATTAACATTTTAGTTTCTATTTTTTTTTAAATTCAATATTTTTATAATTATTTTTGATTTACCACCTTTGTCATGGCGTGGGTCATGAGGAGTTCAAAACTTTTTTATGCATTATTATTATCTATTTTAAGTTTATTTATATACATACGGACATATATGCATATAAGCATATAAATTAATAAACATACAAGTTTTAACGGGAGAAATTTATGATTAATACAATTTTCAATTTATCCCAAAAAGTTTGGCAAACATACAAATGTTTTTATAGTTGGGAAACAGTGTTTCGATCCGCATTACTAACTGTTAACTTGATTTCTATATTTCATATTTAAACTGAGTGTATACAATAGTATATAGTATACTAAACATAATACACACATAATTACTTATTTTGAACTTAAGTGCTTTACTAACACACACTTACGAATTGAATTCACTAATAAATATAGTTTAGAAAATTAATATGTTCTATAAAATATACCTTACACTGTAAAAACCTTCGTATGCATAAATACATACATATTATATATTATATATATATGTATATATGTACATAAATACTAAACATGGAAATAGTAGAAAAAATCGAAGACTTCGGAGGACGAAAGGAAAGTAAATATGAATGAGGTGAGAAGCAAATAAATCCTCTAACTAGCAAATAGAATTTTATATACAAATGCAAAGAAATATGTATGTAATAATGTAATGCTATGAGTAAATGTTATGATTTACAATAAAAAGAAATCGCCATAGCGAAAACAAGCAAAAAACTCAAACTATTGAACACAATAATAAAATAATTGTAAAACAAAGATAAAATAATTTCATTGCATCAATATAAGTATGTAAATTAAGTGTAATATTTTATTGTAAATAAACATACAGATGTGCACACGTGTATATTTGAACTATTGTAATTTAAACAGTGTAAGATAAAATTGTAGAAGAGGAAATAATATTCGTTTTGTTATTGTGAATGTTTTTTTATTATTACACACTTATGCATATACATACATACATACCTACATACATACATAAATACAAATACATTTAAACGAAGTACACTTGTACGTTTAACGTCTCACAACATGTGTCCTTTTTATGCTAATTTTTACATATATATGTACTATATATTTACATTCAAACAACTACAACGCAACAATGTGGATTTTAATACAGCAACAACAGAAATAATATTAAAATGTACGAACGAAGCACAACACAACTATTATACATATATAAAGAAATACAATACATATGTATTTATCTATATAAAAAATAGCTATAAGAGCCATCCATCAGAAGCATCAAAGTGAACCGCCATACAAAATGTCCAAATATCCCAATACAAATACACACACTCACACACACGCATACACATCCATATAAGTATAACCTAACTATTTTCCTTTGAGTCCACATACACACATACACACCAACTCAAACATACGCTCACCTTAAGCTCTATTCCATGTCCACTTCCAAATGAAGAAAAAAAATGTATCAAACGCCATCAACTACTACTACATACACACATACATGCATACATACAATACATATATACATACAAACTATATTAGCATTATGGAAATATTGAAAATCTTACAATAAAAACATAACAACTATAATCGAAACAAAAAAGTTAATTGTCTATCTCTTTTTCTTATTTTCTTAATCTAAATATATGTGCATACAAAGCTTAAAGATCCAACATAACCATAGTCATAGGCCATAATAAACAATAAACTAAACCATAGACCATAAAAATAACAGAACAAAACCCATAAGAAAGTCAGCGATAATGAGAAATTAGTAAATCGGGCAGACAAAATCTGCGATGCGAAAAGCGAGTGTGGTGGCGTGGGCAGAGTCTTGAACATTAAATACAAAATTTGTTACAAAAAAAAACCGCGCAAACCGATAACAATATCCAAAAAATAATCGATAATATTTATTCCAAAAGCAATGAAATGAAATAAATGTAGATTACAACCAGAGGAAGAAAGAAGTTAGACAAAAACAAAGAAAAGCAAAACAGTGTGTAGTGATTAATTATGCAAAAGCCTTAATTTTTATTCAGTCACCGTTGAGCTAAATGGCAAAAAAGTAAGCATTTTTTAAATTAACATCTGTTGCGTTTTCATATTTCCTGATGAAGAAAGTAATAATCGGTTTTGTAAGCATTTATATAATTAAAAGCAAGTTGTTCACGGCAATAGCAAAGAGAATGTGAAATGAAAGCGCTTGTCATACCAAAAGTATCACTATTCAATATAAGTACATTACAAAATATTCTAGGCTCAATACGAACTATTATTTTATCATATAAATATGTCATCAGCCCATTATAGCACTCACAAAAAAATACAAGTTTCTCAAAACCGATTAAAGCTAATGAACGCTAAATTCATACCATAAAATTTCTTTGGGAATATCGTTTTTATGTGGAAAGAATAAACAAATTCATCTACTCATAATTATAATTCATGCTAAAAAAAAACTACAAACACATATACATACACGCTCATGAAAATATCATCAAGAAAAGCGCAATGAAATGATATGAAAATGAGAGAAGTCAACAAAAAAAATACATTAAACAAGAAATTGTGAAACAAAACAACATGACAACAATAAAACAACAAGATATTTTCGTAAGTAATTACTAAAGCAAATACGAAGAAGATGAAGAAGAAAAGATACCGAAGAAGAGTTTTAAAGAGTTATTATTTAAAATAAAAAACGAACTATAAGAAGATGTCACAAAAAATACTTGTTTTAACTTTTTCGCTGAAAAGAGTAGGACGCACTGAAGTCGTTTGCTAAACTGTGAATGGTCCAATATCCGAACCTTGAGAGTAGACAATGTAGTAGTCGATAAAAAACTCATCGGCAGCGAATTGTCAAATTGAAGACCCTTTGCGCTGTTAAGCAAATAATTTCATATTTATTTAAGATAGAAAAAACTTAAATCTCTATGCTGTAGTTAACAACGCCTTTACGTAACTTTTAACAATTTTCACTCTTGCTAGTATTCACATCATATCTAAAGAATTTAAAAAGGTAAGATCCTCCGCTCTAGTTATTAACTAACCCTATATACATATATATAGTGGCTCTCTGGAGCATCACAGCTCTAAAACTGAGCAGCGCTCTCTGAATAGTCGGATCTCTGACATATAACCAACGTCTTTTTTTTTTGTAATATTTTTAATGTCTGCAAAGCGTGTGTGTTTTACTGACAAAAATAATTCGGTTTGCGCTGAAATTAAATTAATCATTGGGTACTGGTATTAAGTATTTATAAAGTTTACTATTTTCTCATTTTGATACTGTCCATTAACTACTTAACAATATATTTTATTTAATCAAAAACCAATAATGCGCGTTGAAGCTTGCTTGCCATTTCTGAAATATATAAAGGTTTCAGGTG